TCCAGCATCTGCAAGTTTTTTCGCGTATTGTTCCCCTATTCGAATATAAGTGATTATCAATTTGATTATCAATGTGTATAACTCGGCGAAGCATGATTTAAAAATACCAATGCCATCTAGTTGTTTTAGTATAAAGGGAGAATCATTCCACATTTTTGCTTTCATACATCTTGCTCTTGTGACGTTTATAAAGTGTAAAAGTGTTAGGGGTGCGTTAATTAAAAATATACATCAAATAGGATTTAGATTTACAAGTCTATTGCAACTTTCAAAACCGCAACATTCTCTTTATATGCTGCTAATTCAACAAGACCTAGAATTGTATAAAAAAAATTATATATATATTAAATTTCATTTTGTGTAAAAAAGTCGATATATAAAAAAATATAAATAAATATAAATAATCACTTACATTTCAGTATACGATGACCATGTTGAACGATGACTCTCGACTCCGTATTGACCTGTACACGAGTTGATGAATCCTCTAATGGCACATTTCCTAATACGACCTGGTAATAGTTTTGAAGGTTTAATTTTAAACAAAATTTTTATCATAAATTTTTGATGTACCTACTTGGATCATGATAAAAACTTTTTCTCTGGTATCTTTCACTTTTCCAGAAAGGGGAAATTTAACATCTGCATGCTGATTTAACTTATTCAACGTCTAAGCAACATTATAATTTTAGAAATAATAAAATGACATGAATAATTGTAGTTTAAGGAAATATATCATACCAGTTTTTCATGACGATGCAATTTTACTTCATTAAACTCTTCTGCTTGCGATACTTTCTCTAACTGTGTATCAAATCGATTACTTTGCAAGAAAATTTTACTTGAAAACAAACCTCATATACATACGCAAGTTTTTATAATTTCTTCTTTTGATGATGTCGAGTTTTTTTGGTGCCATGAAAATATTGACAATATGCGTTGCATTGTAAGATATTTTATATTATATTTTGCCATTGTTTCGCCAATTTCTTATTTTCAATGTTAAAATTAGTCGAAATCAATTAATGAATAAAAAGAATTCTTAATTATGTTTGCTTACTAGTCGGCCTAATATTATCGTTATTTATCATAATCATTTCGGATATTTCAAGATTTCTCAAGTCATTCATACAAATTCCTGTAGGCAATAAAAAAAATCAAATCTCCATGTTGCACCTATTATTTATATTAATGGAACTGAAACTTTCCTTCAAGCCTTTTTTCCCAATTTTGACCTTCTTTAAATCTTGGATCATATCGTTGAGGGTTTGACTTCATCCTCACATATAAAAAAGTAGTTTTGAGCCTATTTATTATCAAAAAATATACATATAACTATGGTTTAAAATAATCATAATTATAATTATAAAGTAATAATAATCGAAAATTGTATATACCACTTCATTGCGTTGTTCACATGATCTATGGTTCCAAGGCATATTTCAGAATTTAAATGTTCGTGGAGTGTTTCATGCAAGCTAATTTTATGTAAAAGAATTAGTTAAATAATTGGTTAAAATTGGGTAAATACTATCAAGAGAAAATATGAATTACCTGCTCTCGAGTTTATCTTTAATTCCAGTTACCAATGCTTCATACTTTTGTTTCATATTATGGCTTGTCATTATAACCGCTAATAGATAAATGTTTTAAACCGATAATTTCTTGTCAATATTCTATGACATTTTAAATTTTATTATTATTATGATTATTATTATTATTATTTTTATTTATTTATTTTTTTTTACCTATTCCACTATCATCGAATTGCGGTCGACCCTAAAATAGCAAAGATTAAAAGACACCATTTATCAACAAATACGTATTAAAGTTACGATACTTACAGCACGACCAAGCATCTGTTTAATCTCTGAGTCAGAATATTCTGTGAAACCGCCATTTTTATAAGCCATGGTTGATTTGATTATGACTAAATGAGCTGGCAAGTTTACCTATTGGTAATAAGCATTACTTGAATAACAATCTTTAACCTACGAATTATATAAGAAACTTAAAACAGACCCCAATAGCTAATGTCGATGTTGCGCCTGGAAGTAATAAACATCAATTATCATATTTTGTGTAAATAGCAACTTTATTGACTTCTAATATATCAGTCTATACCTACATATAACATGTACTGCACCTTGTAAAAACATCGATTCAATATTTTTTCGATCTTGCATATGAAGTCCTGCATGATGAAAAACAACACCATATTTTACGAATTCTGAAATTTTATAAATATTATAATTTTATGATAACAGAACAAACAAAAAAAACTGAATCAAACAAAATATGAGTGCGTACCTTGTAACTGTTTGTCGTGAAATGTAATTTCACTAAAATGTCGAATTAATGTGAGGGTGGATAAACAAAATTAAAACAATGAAGACATCTCAATGCTTACATTGGCCTGATGTTCCACGGTAAATCTTTGTGCATATTTTTAAGTTTTTTAACGATAGACTGACACGCTTCTTCTGTAGACCTCCTCGTTATACAGAACTATTGAGTATGATTGTTTATCAACGTGAATATTGACAGCTCAAATTATTAACGAAACCTTTGGAAGTATATATAACTTACCACTATTGAGGGCTTCCCGTTAGAATATTGTTGAATTATGTCAAGGAGTCTGGAAGCACCATTAGTTTCCAAGGTCAAATGGATCATATATTATCACAAATAAGATGATACGTACTTGTCGTTCAACGATTTATCAAATTTGAATACATTTCCATCCGATGGATAGGATAACACCTGACGAGAAAGTCGTACAGGTCGATACTCATCTCCAAATTGTAAAATTTTAACTTTTTTCCATTATAATTTGTAAATAAGACATTTGAGTATTTGCAGTTGAGTATTTACGATCACTAAGAGAAATAAAGGAAATACCATTATTTTGAGGAAATTTATTGTCACTCTGAATACCAAGATTGATCCAAGATGCAACATCTTCAATATTGTACACTGTTGCAGAAATTGCGATAAATCTGCTATAGGTTCCCATGAGTTTCATTCTACTAACCTAATAATAAAATTACTTTTATTACGTGCGTTTTTTGTTGGAAATATGAAACAGAATGAATGACATATTACAACGGCCTCAAGAATGGCACCTCTGTCTTCGTGCAATATATGAACTTCATCAATCTAATGCAACACATTAATAAATATATTGAATATAGCATTGTCAGATCAAAGTAATTATCATATTTATACCATGAATAGTTTAAGCATCGATAACAAATTCTTGATATCAACCCTGATAATAATATCTTAGTAAAAACACAAATATTGAATATAAAACAAAAGATGATTCTATTACCATTGACGTGTTACTGACTCCCATTTTTCGGGTGTTGTCACACTTTATGATTTCGTTTAAAATAATTACGTGTTCGTTAAAATAATTACGCGTTCATTAAAATAATTACGCGTTCATTAAAATAATTACGCGTTCATTAAATAATTACGCGTCGTTAAAATAATTACGCGTTCGTTAATAAAATAATAATAATAATAAAAAAAACATTTTTTTACGCAAATAATAATTACGAACATAATGTTGCTTTTTTTAATATCAGCAATATGTGCCGTGTTCGTGTCTCCGGTCAACTCTCCGCCTAAAATAGTAAAACAAATAAAGTTTTTTAATTATTTTATTACATGGAAAGCCAAAGTATATCATGACATATACATGTGATTCCAATATGACGAAATTTGCGAGACCAATCCTGTGCCCGTTCTGAGCAAATTGCCTTGCGTTTACAAATGGACGAATTAGTAAAAGGTGGAAATCTTGAATTTCATGCGATCATAAATACCTTAGTTGGTGCCATATACACCATTCTTGCATGATCATTATTATTCATAAGTACATTGATCATTGCAAGCTCAAATACTACAGTTTTACCGGATCCAGTTGGTGCTAATGTTAATTTGGTAACATTTTTTATTAATTGAAATAAATTTTATAAACAGAATCTTGATTATTGAAAATAATACCGATTACAACGAGATCTTCATTCGTGTATAAGGCCTATATTAAGTAGAAGAAACTCAATTTGCAGTAACGATGATAATGACCGGTATAAAAGCATTAGACTTACGGTATCAATACATTGTGATTGAATGCTGTTAAAGACGCCGAAGGGAAATAATGATCTAAATCGATCAGCTAAATAAAGATTTGTTAAAGAGATACATATAAATTTGCACCAGATTTAAATGAAATCAGAGCAAAGGTAAAAAGGATACGTAGTTCAGAAACTTTGCGTAGCCCACTTATTGAATTGGGTTGAATGCTGTCCATTGAGTGATTTATATTATTTAACGAGAAATTATAGGCGTTGCCTCGTATTTCAAAATTCTTCAACGATCTTGATGTATTTTGATCCATCTGATGAAATGTTGGTGTAATGTTTGTTCCATAGATATCATCAGAGATAGTTTCTGGGAATTGTTCATCAAAGTTATCTTGACGTGAAGAATAATTAAATCGATTGTCCTGATGTCGAAGGTGAAAAGCAGGGTTGGATTTTCTTTGGAATCGCTTATTATGTTGATATCTTTGATTCCGCTTTGGAGACATTTTGGTGCAAGAAATTGACATAAAGTGTTATAATTGTCACTATTTATATTAAATCGTCGCAACATGCAGCATATACTTTTTATTTTGATTTTTCAGAGCAATTATGATCGGAGTTAAATGATTACATCCAATTAATGATCGAAAAAATATATCTCAAATACAAGATTTTACGGAATATATTCATATCTATCCCTTACACCATTTTACAAGTCAATCTGCCTGCAAATTATCATGATTGATCTATGATTGAGTTGTCAAACTGGATCGTAATTATATCAAAACTACATTACGATAAAAAATGTGGCCTACATCAAAATTAAAACTCAGAATATCTATATTTAAAAGAAATATTATGTATAAATATTCAATAATAATAAATTACCATTGCTATGCACTTATTGACAATAATTTTTTTATTAAGCACTTAGCAGCAACTAAAATAAAGATATCTCAAATTTTAATGTAGAAATTGGTTTATTTCATGTAAAGACTGGGCTCGTCTCAACTCGTGATCCACGAATTAAGCTCAGAAGAGTACTTGAATCATTTGATTGAGTCAATTTATTCGAATTTATTCGAATATTCGAATCACAAAAATTTAAATAAAGGCAGATATGGATACATACCCCTGAAAAATTCGAATCTCTCAAATCATGATATACTCAAATTATTCGAGTCACTGATTTCACGATATACTTATATAATTTATCCATATATATCGATATTAGAATCTTCAAACTTAAAATATTGCGAGTTGTTTTGCTTTTTATATGTTTTAATGCTGTAATTTTTTCGGCAAACTGAGAGATAAAGATTAAGTAAAAAAATTACATAATAAATAGCATCCTTTAAGGGATCCGCTGTTTTTGTTTGAAAAACAGGTTTAAAATTATATGTCCTTATTAATATTGCATGTTTTATTATATAAAGAGAATTGCTATTTGCCACCCCCATTTTTGTTACTACCACCTTCTCATATAATCTAACCCTAATCAATAATTAGGGTTAGCAAGGTTGGAGGCCAATTAGATTATGTGAGGGGGTGGCAGTAACAAAAATGGGAGTGACAATAGCAATTATCTATATAGATTTGGTTGTTTTATGTCTTTGTACTTTATTAAAAGCCAATATTACTGTATATACAGTTAATACTGTCTAAATGCATACTGCATACTGTATAAATGCATAATTTTTTAAAAAAATTTCATTTAGACAGTAAATTTTCTAGTATTTGATTGGTTAATACTGTTTAAAGGCATAAAATTAATTTTTTTTTGTCCACCGATGGTATGCATTTAGACTATATTGACATTGATTTATTTACTCTACCCACAATAATTATAACATATTCTATAAACATTAACCTGTTTTTTCATAACCCATTAATAAACCAATTTCAAAGCTACGTTCTGAACAATAAAATTTTATTGTATTGCATATAATTTTTAGATGGTGCACTTAGAAGTTTTTTTGATAGTTCTAACTAAACTGTATTATTCATATTTAATATATTATCAAATCCTTCAGCAATACTAATTTTTGCCTAAACATCAAATAATTTAAATAATTAATCTTACAAACCATTATTAAACAGTTGTAATTTAAAAAAAATGTATATACTTTTTCAGAGATAGGATTGTCTGCAGCTAAATAACCCATGAGAAGATTTTTTGCTAACCATTTATTTTTTACAACACCAGAGTGAGTTCCCTATTTGAATAAAGAAATTAGAAGTAAATAACATATAACATGTATATACACCTAACACAAAAATAAGTAAACAAACTTCGTATTCAATTCTTAAATAACCATCTCTTTGTTTTGTTAAAATCATAGCGGTACCAGTTTTAACCAATGATTTAGGAAATTGAGCTTTAAACTCTTTAAGAGCTTCAAGTACGCCCTACGAGAGAATAAAAAAGTTATATCATAGCAATTAGAAGTACATTTCATCATGATAAAATAACAATACTTCAACATCATCATCATCTAGATGACCATTCTGCATTCTATTCGTAAGAGCACGTACAAATCCATCACGTAAATGCTGACCATTAGTATTTCGCACAGGTTCTTTTCAAAATCAGTGTTAAATTATTTAGAAACTTATAATTAACAAAGATATGAATAACAAAATCACCTATGCGAATAGCGATATCTACAGGTTGGTCCAATAAATTTGACGCAACCGACTCATCGTTAGATGATAAAAACTTTGCTTTGTCATAACCCTAATTAAAAATAATGTTCATTATCACATGTATGATATATACATAAGAGAAAATTTTAGCTAGCGCTGGTGCATTTTGTGCATCCTATTTTTATTATCTTCAGATTTGGATTAAGGATTAGTAAAGGAATAAGTTGTACCGTATAGCAAATTTTTATTTTTCGTTAGAATACAGGTGGTTTCTTAGGCGGAAATTCATTTTCGCATCAACACATACGGACATTGACAATCAATAAGATGCACTAAATGTGCCATGCACAAATATTCCTACGCAAAAAATTGATACCTTCCATTTCTTCAAGATTTCTATATCGCTTTCGCGAATATACATTGCAATAACATAAACTTTCATTTTCAAAAATGATATAGTTCTTATACCTAACCCTACTAGCTTCGCATTTGTTCCATCATATAGAGAGATATATGTTGGAATAAGAAGTTTACTTTCAGGTTCTTCTATGACAAAAAGTTCATAAATATAAGCGATAAAATGAAGCATAAATTATAATAATTTATACACATTACCAGTTGCATAAGATTTTGAGTTTATCATATTCATAGAATCAGCAAATGCAAAGCTGTTTCTCTGCACATACCAATAAGTTGAGCCTACAATACCAACAAAAGTGACTATTGCTTTTAAAGCCTTTTTAGGGAAATCATAAAGCATGGGTACGAAGTAAACTATATGAAGCCATATCTTGAAACTTGATAAAAATAGCATTTAATATCTTAGATATGGTAAAACAAAAAACCTTTACAGAACCACGACTATAAGGACTGTGAGGATAAACTCTAAATAATGACGGATGTTTAATCAAATTTAGACGCATTGCTTTCAAAGCATATTGCCTAATAAGAAAATGAGACTTTGGAGCAGCGTGACGTGTAAACATTATAATCAGCCGAAAAAGCTTTTAAAAATTCTTTGAATTATATATCGAAATTATCTATAATCTGTAGATGGTAATCACGTTAATCGATGGGCAAAATTTATACCGATACTGTATATCGATCGATGCATTATTGGCTGTTTATACTGCTTATAGTTAACCAATCGGATAAATTTTCCATTGTGCTATTCAACGCGTTTAGCCATTCGTGATTTTTTAATTATTTAAACAGATCCAATTTCACTTTTCATTTTCTCTTATATGATGTGCCTCAGACTAACGCTTGCCATCGATTATCATCTAAGCTGCAATCTAACGAAAATAAGAGTAAAATAAATTGAATAAAAAACCTTTTACTTGAATTCTTTTTATTCTTGGATTTCTTTGGCGTTTTCATCGTTGGTAGCATTTTTTAAATCACTTCGGCGTCTTTCTTAACTCCAGTAGCATTCTATATTTTTGAATCACTTTGGCGTCGTCTTACCTCCAATAGCATTCTTG